TCTCGTCTAAATGTAAGATACGTAGGCACAACATTGTAATGATCATGGCGAGCCGCCTTCCCCCCCCCCCCCCCCATTTGCGAGCTACCTTCCATCACACTTCCATCTTTCTTCATCATTCTGTACTACCTTCTATCCATCTTCCGTTTCCCCCTATCCTTTCCGTATTCGAACTACGAAAGCTCTGATTTCTGATTCTCGTTCAAATGAGCATATGTAGGCACAAAGGCCCCAATCCTTGGCAAACACCCTATCCTAAAACCACCCATTCTCCCCTAGCACTGTTACCCTTATATCGTATCGTTTCGCATTTATCATTGAGAAGAAAACAAACAAGCTTAGATAATATCCATTGCAAACCGTACTAAGAGGTTCCCGTTGAGTACAACAGATGTGAGGGATGCTAATACCTTCCCCTTGCGTAACCGACTCTCGAACCCAGAACGTGGTTGGGAAGACTGTGTTCTTATCTTTCTCTTAAAATGTTTTCTCGATATTTTCCTTTCCCATCTTTTTGGGATAAATAAATTTCGGTGGTGACTCTGCCGAACCACATTTCGCGCCTTTCGTGTGAGGGTCGCGTTTCTCGATTTGTAATTTTTTGAGGTGCGACACCTCTCGGTTGCAAAAACCAAACCAAATGATTTCACTGGAGAATTTAAAAAGCAAAAAGAGTTCGAAATATTTGAAGTCTGTGAATGATTAAATGCATTCATTGTAAAATAATCATACTTAAAAACTTGTGAAACTACCTAAGGGAGAATGTGTATTAGGTTGCAAGTTGATCTTTAAGAAGAAGGAAGTTATTACATATAAATAAATACTTATGATAAAGGGTTTTAATCAGGTGAAGAGGATTGTTAATAATACAATATTTTCATCTATGATAAAATATTTTTTAGTTGAAGAGGATCGATTATAATTAGATGTAGATTATTTAGTTATCCTAGCTGACTAAGAAAACTAACACTTGTTAGGTTGTAATAGGTAACTTGCTACAGCAAGTAAACAATTCGCAATTATATATGAAAATTGTTTTTGGTATTGTTACCTTTGTATTGATAATCAAAAATAGTTACAACTAAAATGAACAGTCTTTCTACGAAGAGTATTATGGTATTGTTACCTTGGATTTTCGACATAAATATAAATGAAAAATAAGACACAAGGGCATGCCATGGTGAGGTGTAAGGTCTAGCATGGTTAGTCGAGACCATAAGTTGATTTGATTAATTTGGCATGTCTAAAGATGATTTAGAAATTTTCAAATCGAATCATGTAGTAAAAGATCAAGGAGTATTTGTGGAGTCTTTGAACATAGTGAAATTTCCAAATATTTAGGTTAGTTATTCTGCTTAGTTGAATGAGTGAGAATTGGATAAGATCAGGTAGTTATCCAAAGACACATGGATTTCGTCGAAGACAAAGGTTGTATGGAAGCAAAACATGTTGTGATGCGTTTAGTCGACCGTTGTAGGAAATTATTTTAAACTAGTATATAAGTACATACTTGCTTAAGTTGTACGGGTCCGTAATTGTACTTAAAATTATACAAACTCAAAGTATCTGTGTGATTGAGAAATGAGTGAAGAAATATACATATGCATTCCACAATTATTTCAAAAGTCTTTTACATCAGTCATTTTTGTGTTTAAGTTACTTTCAGTTAATTAACTTTCATATCCTTTACATTTCGATTTCAGTTAAGTTTGATTTATTATCTCTCAAATATTCCATTTCGATTTTCATAACAATGTTGTTCAAAAGTTATGGTTCCCATAAATATTTTATGGAGTTTTTTCAAGTTTAATCTCTTAAGTATTAATTGAAACTTATTTTGTTTACCAAATTTTCAAGTAAACAAATTGGCACACTCAGTGGGACTCTTTTGTGTGAATTTCTATTTTTCATTTCGAAAAACATCATTTTAAAGTTCTTTATTTCATTAACTTTTCATTATGTGAGTGTGCATGAGACTAAGGAGTTGTAAGAAAACCAATAGAGAAGTTAGGAAACCTACGAGGAAATACGTCCCAGAATTAATAATGGAGAACAACCATCTAATAGCATTGGTGCAGGCATGGTCATTGCAATGTCGACTGAGCCAATCCCTTTGATTGCTAGCATGATGGTCGTACTATTAACGATGGTTGCACCATCAACTATACAATAATGGACGTTTTTTCCCTTTCAGGAACCCAAAGTCACTCAGTGACTCCTAAACCAATTATGGCGACGAAGTTTAAGCCTTTCGCCAAAAGTTTTACAATGCCCATGACGGGGCGTGAACAACCTTTTGGGATGCCAACATCAATGATGAGAAACCTACATAATAAATCTTTGGCATTTCCTGATAATTCTGCAAATACATATTTGCCAATTTTGGTGTCTGGGTCGGTCATAGGTAACCATGATCGAATTGTACCACCCTAGATGGGAGTGAGATTTGGTTCTCAAGCAATGTTGATGTTCGTGACGAATTATATAATAGGGATGAGACAATAATTGGATGTGAGTAACCATGATATGGTCAATACTCTTACCGAACAAATGAGTATTATATTTAACCCATTGATTCAAAAAATGAATCAGAGTTACCAACAATTGGTAACTCAAATGAATTAAATTGGTGATTTTTTGGCGCTCTTCCAACACAAGTTTGACCCATTGGCAACCCCAACTCGCTAGGAAAGTTCGAAAGTAATGGGTAGTCTTGGAGGAAAATAAAGTAAATTAGGGGCAATAATGTTTTCCCCAAGTAGTCGACAAGAGATGCATAAGGAAGTTGAGCTTCCACTTATCAGATTGGATAATTGAAACCATGATGCTGATCAAGTCGTTCATCAAGTTTAACAAGGAAATCTATTGGGAGAAAATAATCTAGCAACCATTGTCGAGAGGATAATGACTCAAAATGGTGTGAACATGAGTCTGCAAAGGCCAAACTACATGTCTCCTCTATCATAATATGTGTTGTAAAATAAATTGTCAAGGGGATGGAAAGTCCCTAAGTCTACCAAATTTTCTGGTCATACCAATGAGTCTACCATCGAGCATATTTCTCGATATTTAACTGAGGCAGGACATATAACAAATAATGAGAACTTAAGAATGAGATACTTTCCTAGTTCTCTCACAAAAAAATCATTTACATGGTTTACTACCCTCCCTGCCCATTCCATCAATGATTGTACTCGATTGGAGAGGTCTTCCATGAGCAGATTTACATGGGGAAATATAAGATTAGTTTAAGAGAATTGTCGAGTGTGAAGCAAAAGTTTAATGAATCAATCGGCAACTACTTGAATCGATTTCGACTATTGAAAATAAGGTGTGTTACTCAAGTGTCTGAACATGAACTAGTCGAAATAACCGTTGGGGGATTAAATTATTCTACTAGGAAGAAATTAGATACATAGTATCAGAGAGATATGTCACAGTTAGCGGGTACAGTTCGACAGGTTGAAAGACTAAAGGCTGAGAAAGGCATAGTGAACAAGGGTAAGAAGGAACGTGTGGTTTATGTCGATATGAAAGAAAATGACTTGATGTCAGATGTCGAATACAACCATGTCGAAGAAATTGAGATCGATGTGGCTGAATTAAAGCCAGGTCCCCTATATGTGTGTAAGTCGCTTACGCTTGCAAATCGAAAGAATCCTTCAGAGTCTGAAAAAAATGATAAATATTAAATTAGTGTTGTTGATTTTTAATCTTGAATATGAATTAATAGATAATGTTAAATGTAATGTAATTCAGATTCAAATTAGTTTGCATTTCATTTAACATTTAAGTTTGCATTTATATTTTAGTTTTATTTAGTGTGTATTTAAGTTTGGTTTACTGTATAAAAATCTAAAGGTAGTTGGAGATTGTAACAGATTGAGAATTGTGAATTTGAATTTTTGAAAAAGTTATTTATGTTTTTCATTCTCTCTCTTTCTTTTTTGAAAATTTTCTTCATCTTCTTCGATTCTTATGCAACAATGAAGATGTAGTGTTCAACTCCAACAATTTAAAGTTGTTGGATTGATCATGTACAAAATTTCAAATGAGTTTTTGTGAGAATTTCAAGAAATAATTCTTGAGGACTGAAATAAATTGTCTGATTTAATATTGAACCATAATAACTTTTTAGTGTGGTCTTTCTTATATTTTTTCCTTATAATTCTGTCTTTTATTATATTTATTTATTCCACTCTTTATATATGCTTCTAGCATAAATTTTTTAAATTAATTATTTAAAAAAGAATACTTTTAAAATCTATTGATCACAATTCATTCTATATTTGGAGTTTTTTTTTTTTGAACAATTTTAATAGATATCATATATTTGTTTTTATTGAGATGATAAATAAGTAGGTTTATGTGCCACACTAGAAAGGTAAATATATACATTTTCTACCATATTATTATTAGTATTATTATTCTCTTCAGTTTCTATTTCTTCTTTATGTTTTCATTTAGTTCTTTTTCTTTAATTTTAGACTGTTTTTTCTTTTAGGATTTTCAGCTAGATGATAGAATAGTTTTACCTATAGGTAAGTGAAAATTCATATACAATTCACATTATGCCACATATTAGAACAAGCATGTGCTACTCACTAATTTGACCTTTCATTGCTTCAACAAGAACTTCTAGATTTACTCAAATGCACTTTAATTACTACAACTTTACACTCTTAGGTGATACGCTTTTTTTATAAACAATTCTCCACTCTAATCTTTATGAACTATGGACTATTTTTATATGTAGGTTTCTTTAAATGCTTTACAGAACACTAGGTAAAAAAAAAAAAAAACTATTAATAATATCCCGATAAGATATATAAATATATTCCGCAAGTACTCAATTATTCAAGAATTATATATTGCGAATCTTGTACCATGTGCCGAAATGAATTGCTAATTAATTGACAACTAGGTGTAGAATGTTAAGATTATGAAAATTTGAGTCAAGAGCGGTCCAAAACTTGTGAAAGAAAAAGAGAAAGAGTATAATGAGTGGAGAAGGAAAGGTTGTTTGTGTGACAGGTGCTTCTGGTTTTATTGCTTCATGGATTGTCAAGTTCCTTCTTCAACGTGGTTACACCGTCAGAGCCACCGTTCGTGATCCAAGTCAGTGCTTCTTTTTCCTTCAAATTATTATTATTTTTTTGTTTATTTGATCACCCTTATGAATGAGTGGTTCTATTGGTGTGCAAGCAGGTAATCCCAAAAAGGTTGACCACTTGATTAAACTTGATGGTGCAAAGGAGAGGCTGCAACTCTTTAAGGCTGATCTTTTGGATGAAGGTTCCTTTGACTCTATTATTCAGGGTTGTGATGGTGTCTTTCATACTGCTTCACCTGTTCGTTTTGTCGTAGATGACCCACAGGTTCATTCCATTTTATTGTTCACAAATAGTTGAATGCGGTGTGCTTGTAAGTGTATGATTGGTTATTTTTTATTTCTTTATTTCAGGTTGAGTTGATTGATCCGGCATTGAAGGGAACTCTTAATGTTCTTAAATCATGTGCGAAATCACCATCTGTGAAACGATTTGTCTTTACTTCTTCTGTTTCTGCAGTTGCATTTAACACAAGGCCGAAGAATCCCGGAGTCATAGTTGATGAGACATGGTTTTCAGATCCAGATTTCTGCAGGGAATCACAGGTTTGCACTGTTTTTCCTATTCAGAATGAATGTCTGAAGCTCGTGAAGCTGGGACATGCGATTTTGCTGTGGTTATAGGGATTGAATGATGCGTTTTTTCTTGCTAACTTCTGTTCGTGTTTTTAGTTTTGGTACACTCTTTCAAAGACTTTGGCTGAGGCTGCTGCCTGGGAATTTGCAAATGAAAACAAGATTAACATGGTTGTTATTAACCCAACCATGGTGGCTGGACCTCTCTTACAACCAGAAGTTAATGAAAGTGTTCAACCAATTCTAAACCTAATAAATGGTAATTCTTTCATTGCATAAAGTGTGTATATTAGTGTATGGACTTCCAAAACAATCCTCTTCTCAATTTGATGTAACTAAATTAATGTCATATTTAATCCAGAAAAGAGTTGTCATGTTGTATGATTAAAGAACTCTTTGAAATAGGTATCCCTTTTCCAAATAGTGCTTATGGATGGGTCAATGTGAAAGATGTTGCTGATGCCCATATTCGTGCATATGAGATCCCTTCAACTAGTGGAAGATATTGTTTGTCTGAGAGAGGGGTACATTTATCAGAACTTGCTACAATCTTACGTGATCTATATCCAACATTAAAAATTTCAGACAAGTAAGTTCATTTGAATTCAGCAATTCTCTAATATAGTTACAGACCTTGATTTTGATATCAATATCTTAGTTATATATTTTGTAAACAAAAGGGATTTTCTATAAAGTATCGAGTTATATATATTCAATAAGTAAGCAATGGCACATGATTTTCAAATTTTTATTCAAAATTTATCATGGATTAAATTGGATTTTACCTCATACAATTTATGAAACCATGCATTAATTCTCTTTACAATTTATAAGGTGTGAGGATGAAGAGCCATATATAACAACATATCAGATTTCTAAGGAAAAGGCTAAAAGCTTGGGAATCGTGTTTACTCCTTTGGAAGTCAGCCTCAAAGAGACTGTGGAAAGCTTTCGGAAAAAAATGATTATTGACTTTTAGTCTGTCACGACATATCACTTAATAAATAAAGACATGACAAGAAGGTACTGCCATTTGATCCATAAATTGGAATGGAATTATAATTGTGAGATTTTTACTGATCTACCCCACTTTGAATTGTGAGATTTTTACTTATAAATTTGGCTCATGAGTAAGCTCATCCATTGTGTGAAGAATCACTTTTTTTTTTTTTTTCTGTTTTATTTATTTAATGATTTATTAATTAATTTTTAAATACTATAAATAATAATTCATATTTTAATAATATATTTTAATAATTTAATAAATATATTTTAATAATTTAGTAAATATATTTTAAATAAATACTATAAATACTATTAAAATGTTAATCTTAATAATTTTTATTATAATTAATAATAATAAAATAATGTTAATAAACAAAATTAATAATTTTAATTATAAAATAATAATTTATAATAATTAACCACTTTTTTTTTATTTTTTTCTGTTTTATTTATTTAATGATTTAAAATTAATTTTTATATACTACAAATAATAATTCATATTTTAATAATATATTTTATTAATTTAATAAATATATTTTAATAATTTAGTAAATATATTTTAAATAAATACTATAAATACTATTAAAATATTAATCTTAATAATTTTTATTATAATTAATTATAATTAAATAATGTTAATAAACAAAATTAATAATTTTAATTATAAAATAATAATTTATAATAATTAATAATAATTACATTATTAAATTAAAACAATAAAATTTATTAAACAAAAATATATTTCATCGAAGATGACCCCCAATTTCACACCTAGTGGTCCTTCGCTGTCTATATCCCCTGCCGAAACGCTCATTTGTAGGTGATTGAGATGAGTCGGAATACATGTCTTCATTGTGATGTGTTGTAGGGGAGTTTGTCTGCCGTGAAGAGAGTCTTGGTTGCTCATCGAGAAGATCATCAATGTTAAATTCCGGCATGTGCATCAGTTGCTCCTCTGTCAGCAAAAAACTTTGGAATGAGTGTGGTGGTTGCGGTGGTTGTGGGTAGGTTTCGGGTTGGGTTTGTTGAAGGGTTGGGTAGTAGACGTTATCTGGCGTGATGGTCAAGGTGGGTTGAGAGAAGATAGTGTTGAAGGTCGGGGTGGGTTGAGAGAAAGTAGTGTTAAAGGTTTGATATTGAAAAATGAGGGTTGGTCTGGTCAAAGTTGGGCGGTGGGACTGGGGTGAATTGTATGGGTGGTCGGAGGTAGGATTGGAGCTGATATTGTTGGTTGTAGTGGTAGTTATAGTTTTGTTGAGGGAGTGGATTGTATGGTGTTTTTTGTCGGTATGTATGTTGAGCTGACGAAGATGTGTTCCCACCAAATTGAGATGTGTAGGTTGGTGGCACGTTATGATGCATTGATGCGGCAGATGGTTGTGTTGATGATGATCCTTGCATGCATGAGTCGGTCAAAAATTGATCTGGAGCAACATGCACATAAGGAATGGCACGAAACTAAGTTAAATACTCTTGGCTTGGCTTGCGTTCACCTAATACAACGTCCCCCTGCAAAATCACATTTCTTCTATGTCTACATTCTCTCACCTCCTCCTTGTTTAATTCTCGCCAATGAACTTTTTGGGCTTTTCTCATGGTCATTGCGTGGTGTTCCCTTAGACACCTTGGCGGGGGAGGGATTTGTTTGTCTAATCCAAACTGGAGCGTTACCCTATCTGTTTGATGCACCTCAACGGTATAGAAACAAATAATGAAAGTTGTTGCACTCAAGATTTGGTTATCTCTAAGACTGGGCACCGGATATTGAATGTACGGTCTCCATATAAACTGCCACATAAAAAAGAAAATTAAGATACCATTAAAGAGTTGAACCGACAACTATTTTCACATGGTTTGAAACTTACATCTTGTTCTTGCATATGGTCCAATGCGTTTCGATATCCTTGGAGATGAAAACAAGGATTTGCATTGTAATTCATTCTTCTTTGCGCCCATCTTGTATAACCAAAAAAAATATAATACTGTTAGGCATAGTTGAATAACATATATATATATATATATATATATATATATATATATATATATATATATATATATATATATATATATATATATATATATATATATATATATATATATATATATATATATATATATATATATATATATATATATATATATATATATATATATATATATATATATATATATATATATATATATAATGTACACATAAATGGGTGTTTTAATACAGAAATACCTTTGTGCATATGGATACGAGGGTTCCACTAAACTGATAGGAGCGAACAATGGTATACGTGTGAATGCCCAAGAAGTTAGGAAGAGAGCACAACGACTCATGCTCCTAGCGTCTTTGACTGTTGCCTTGCACATTTCTCTGTATAGTTTTGCAAGGCATGCAGAACCCCAACTATAGGTGCCGCATATAACAAGATCCCCTACGAAAGGGATCCAAGAAGAATGCAATAGGTTCTGACTTTTGTCAGAAAACAAAATAGTAGTGATTACAAGTAAAATATAAATTTTAGCTTCTAACAAAACTTCTTCTTGTGTGGGGCAGGTTTATTTTTTAAAGTTTCATATAAACTCTCTAGCCAGGTGATCCTAACAGAACATTTAATTTTATTCGCTTCTGTAGGTTCCACCCCAAGTTTTCCATGTAAACAACGTTTGTTACTTCGGTGGGACCGTTGATAGCTTTTCCATCAACTTGTAGACCAAGTAACATGTACGCATCTTCATGCGTTATTGTGCATTCACCTGTTGAGGAAGTAAAAAATGTGTGTAAACATTTTGATGTATAAATCTGAATTTATAGTAGGGTGAATGCAATTCAAATTTAGATGTAATAAATTTTAATTTAAATGTGTGAAAAGACCCTTGCATGGCAACATATTTGCTTGCATGCATGCAAACTAGCTTGATTATATCTTGATTAGGCTTCTTACATGTCGTGTGCATGCAACACCAATTCTGTAACCACCTCACAAGCTCGTCCTTGGAATGGACGAGCTCACAAACCAGCTCACAAGCTCGCCCTTAGAATGGACGACCACACACACTAGCCGTGCACAAGCTCGCCCTTTGAGTGGGCGAGCTCCAAGTCCCAAAATTCCATAATTCTTCTCATATTTGTCTTATATAATTGTTGGATAATCATATTATTTCTACACATCAATATTCACTACCAAAAACTTCTATTCTACACATCAATATTCACTACCAAAAACTTCTATTTTACACATCAATATTCACTACCAAGAAATTCTATTTTACACTCCAAAATGTCCCAGAGAAACATAATTCTCACATGCCACTTTAACGGTGTTGTTTCAACAAATAGCCCTGTTGGATTCTCGTTCAGCAACACAGGTACATACGCCTTCAAAATTCATGTCAATTCTGATTTTTTTCCATTTTAAAGATAGAATGGAAAAAAAATTGGCACGAAGCGTTGAGGAAATAATTTATCGCCATGTAACACTTAATGAAGACGACTGTACAATTTTTAACATAATGACGCCGATCAGGAACGACGAAGATGTGAAGGCAATGTTTCAGTGCCACATGATGTTTGGTCAGTTACCAACAATTGAGTTGTATGTTCGACTACTAGACAATCCCGAAACATTTCCAACCCAAGAGACACAGTCACACTGGTACGGGATGAGCCAAACATCTGACGACGAACCAACACAAACAATTTACCTTTCATACCAAATGAGGAGGTTGGAAGCAAGCGATGGCGATATTTAGGAGGTCAGGATGCAAGATATTTTTGGTGACAGCAATGACGAAGACAATGAAGATATAGTTGTCGCGCCTATGCAGCCGATCCGTGCACAACCCACAAGTTTGTACAACCCGCCTGCGCACATGCAAAATATATGTTTCGAACACGATGCTACAACCTCCGTGTTTGGAAGTGCTACTCAAAACCATATAGGTGACGAAATAGAGATTGGGATGGAGTTCGAAAACAAGGAAGCTTGCGTCCTCGCTCTGCAGCATTGGCACATAACACACAGTTTGGACTATTGGGTGTATCAGTCTAATAATGAACGATATGTCATTAAGTGTAAGAAACAAGACTGCAGTTTCAAGTACAGAGCTTCCTTGAGAAAAAGGAACTCAAAATGGGTGGTCGGTAAGCTGTCTAGGTCTCACACATGCACTACGACGTCTATGGCACAAGACCATAGAAAGCTCAGTTCAGAAATGGTTAGCCATAGCATCAGAGAACTTCTCAACAACGACACCTCACTTAAGGTAAAGGTGATCATTGCCCATATTCTTGAAAAATACAGGTACATTATATCTTACAGGAAAGCATGGATCGCTAAGTGCAAGGCGGTAGAGTCGCTTTATGGCAATTGGGAAACATCTTACAACGACCTACCGTAGTGGATACTGGTAATGAAAACCTTCCTTCCAGGAACCATTATACATTTGCAAACCCTACATGCGATATTAAGTGATGGTTCCCAAATCTTTGGAAAACGAATATTCCATTGTCTGTTTAGGGCATTTCGTCTGTGTATATGTGGCTTCGCCTACTGTAAGCCCATTGTGCAAGTAGACAGAACTTGGCTGTATGGCAAGTACATAGGAACTCTATTGATGGCGGTGGCACAGGATGGCAACGCAAATATTTTCCCAATAGCATTCGCATTGGTCGAAGGTGAAACAAAGGAAGCTTGGAGCTTTTTCTTGAGGAACCTGAGATTACACGTGACACTACAACCTAATTTGTGTCTAATATCTGATAGATATGAATCGGTAAAGATTTCATACAACAATCCCAAAACGGATGGCAACATCCACCATCTTCACATGTCTACTACATAAGACACATTGCTCAGAACTTCATGCGAGAGATTAAGGACAAGGATCTACGCAAAAAACTTGTTAACATGGGTAACAAAATAAATTTCACTTATCTCAAGTTTTGTAGCACACTTTTATCATTTTTTTCACACAATTTCTGTTACA